GTGAGCAGGGGTGGGGCAGAGGGACAGGGAGACACAGAATCGGAAGCAGGCTCCAGGCTCTGAGCTGTCAGCACAGAGCCCGACATGGGCTCAAACCCATGGACTGCGAGATCATGACCTGAGCTGAAGTCAGACACTCAACTGATTGGACCACCCAGGTGCCCCTAAATCCACTTCTTTAAATGCGAAGTATCAAAAATATTAAAAGCATCACAGAGGAAGGAAAGGAACTGGGTGGTTTAGGGAAGACTAAATTCCTTGAGAGGGCCCACTGATTTTTCACATCTGTAACCTATCACCTAGAACAGTGCCTGATGGAGAAGGTGCTTAGTACTTAGTGAAAGACAAAAAGTCAGAAGTGTCTGTTAAAAGAAAAGCCCAGTCTTGAAAAACAAACAAACAAAACAAAAAAACACCCACATTATTCGAAGAAAAACAGGAGATATTTCAGGGTCTGCAGTCAAAAACTTAGAAGATGGCAAAGAATTTAATCCTTTTATGACCTTATAGCTCTGATGGAAAGCCACAGGTGAATATTTTGCACCCATTGCCTGTTACCAACACTACAAACACAATTTCTTAAGTAGTAAGACTGCACAGGAATGCACACATCCCATGTTAAGACATGTACCACCACACAATTCCCCTTTATCACATAAAGTGGTAGTTTTAATCATTAGGTAGTAGTGTTTTGGTTTCCTTGATAATCTTAAAGTATGTATATTGATAGATGTGAGGCAACTGAGGAGAATTAAAGTTACTATTTGGGAACAATTATGAAAATATCTCTGGATGACTGGAGTTTACAAAAGCGGGATCCAAGCTATTTGAGACTATGGGCCTAAGACACTTAGATTCACACCTGGAAGAAGGCTGAAAGTTGTCCAGAGAAGCAGGCAGGACACATGACCAGAACAAAGGAAAGCTTCCTTTACACCAGGGGTCAGGTTCAGCCTGACAAGTCAGTCAACTCCTACACCAACAGTAGCTACCAACTACTGGCAGATGGAGTCCAGGGCTTGTAAAGAACGAGTCCAGAACCTTCCTGTGATGACACATCAGACCACTGGCAACCAGGAGATGTTTTTACTGGTCTTGTCACTCTACTGACTTCGCTTACTTCACTCAGGTACACTAGGGTATCTACTTTCCTTTTTGGTGTCAGACAGCAGCAAATACATGACACAACCTCGTAACACCTGAACGTATTGCACAGATCTTTCCTACCCTCCAGCCCAAATTCAAGAGCTGTTTGCAGTCTTTAAATGACTCAGGTCTGAGGAAGAAAATAAACAAATGGCTTTAAGAGACAAATTAAACAACCATAATACATGGACAGCCTAGAATGGTTCATTCCAACATCATGGTGATCATAGAGGATCATAGACAATGAACTCCATATTTGTTTTTTGTTCACACGTGTAGTAAAGTGGTATACGGCTGACCAAACACACAGTTACAGGCTCCTCAGAAAGGGACAAGAATATAGCAAGAATCAAGTATTCCTGACCTACAGCTACAAATTCCAAAATTTCCTTCTTGCATCACTAATTTCTCGTGGTAATCCTCTACCAACCACAACATCACACAGCCACTTAATGACAGCAAGTTTTGTCCATCACACACTATAATGGGAATAGCTGGCTATTAATGAGAGCTGTTCTGTGTGCATGAAACACCTTGTCTCATTTAGAATTCACAACTCTATTAGGTGGGTGCAGACTCTCAAACATCAAATAACCTGCCCAAGGTCACACAAGTAGTCTTCAGATCATTCTGTCTCTAAGTTCTTAATTATCCACTATGCACAATAACACTTCAAATACAAGTATAAGAAGAGAATATAGCCCAAAACATTTAAATTAAAATGAAAACGTGTTCACTGCATTAAGGTTTAAAAAAAAAAAAAAAGAAAGAAAGAAAAACCCTACACACTCCAACAAGTTTTGGTACTCTTGCCAAAAATAAAAAAAATCAAAAAAAAAAAGCAAATAGATTCCAACCAGTCTATACTTCCATTTATATTTAGAACATGAGCTGGGCTTGAGTATGCAATGAATATATATGCGTGTCTCTCTGTGTGTATAACACCCACATTATTCAAAAGCTCCCAAAAATGTGAAAAGTTTGTTCCAATCCTTCTTTATTTTGTCTACTTTAAGAATCCTTTGCAATATGCTTATGTAAATACTGATTTTAGCTGCTGTTCTCATTTCTCAAATCTTCAGCTTATAAATGAATTGGAAAAGTAACAGACCTAAGCAGACATCTTTGGAACACAAAACCAAAGAGATATAAACAAATATGACTAAAAAGAAAACAAAGGGTTCTTCTTTAAATGTTTTAACTTATCACTACTGATAAATGAAAAGAACTTAAGGAAGGCAGAATATACTGGCTATGGACACGGGGTGTGGGCTGGCACACGCATATGCCTGTGTGTGTGTGTGTGCGTGTACTCCAGTGGGGATTCATTTGATTAGCACACACAATGATCAGCATTTTACCTTAGTTCACTAAAAGCTCTATGAGAGCATAAAATCTAAATGAAAGAAAATCCAGAAGTTAGACTAATGCTGGGGCATGGGAGAGTATTTAAAAAAAGAGTTCCAGGTTGTTAAACCCAATAGGTGAGTGCCTTCAGTTTACTTATACCAGAGTTCACATTATGGTTCAATAGCATTAATAGCTCTGTGACTCTGCAGGTGATTTGCCTCCGTCCACACTTGAAAGAGATGCTGAAAAGAATGAAGGATAGAGTCGACATCTCACTTACCTGATGCTGAGCCTTCATTACAGACATAAGTAAAGGCTAATATGAAATCACAGATCATAAAGCACAGTGCAAAGAACATGTTAACGCAAAACTACTATAAGTTGTGCATATACTATTTCCACCTAGAAGCATAAAACTCACCAATGCTGATGTTGGCACCTGAAATCAAGTATTATATTTGCTATCGTTGGAATGAAAGTTGAAACAGAAGACACTTTTTGATGAGAACTTGGCAGTAGTATCAATGGATTTTGCACTTTGATAACACAATAATCCCATTATTGGAAACACATTCTAAGTAGAGCATTTTTGTCATAGTTGAGAGCTGAACATGCATCTGGGACGTATCTTTTCCATGTAAGCTAATAATACTACAGATTTTTTTATGTAAGCAAAGCAATACTAAGAGCAATTTCACCAAAAGACAAACTTTTATACTCATCCAACAGAGCGTGAATGTAAAAATCATTTTAGATTCATAACTGCAGACTCTGCTCATAAGTGTGTATTATTAAGGAATAAAAAATAAACACTCCTGAAATGAGAAAAATAAGTGACAAAAAGCATAATAAACTTCTTGATGTTTCTAGAGATGACTTTCTTCTTTCAGGGTGATCATAATGACAACAGAAAAAAATACCAGGAACGTTCAGTCTCAAAGTGATCAAGGGCTAAGTTAGTGGTTTTGGCCTTGCTCTACCGAAGAAAGCCAAGAGGGATAATTTAGCTTTTGGACAGAGAAGAGACACTGGCAGTCTCCAGATTTTACTTCCAGCATCTCAACCCACATCCAGCCTGGTGTGAAGGCATGGCAGATGGGCTACTTCTGTTATTTCGACTGCTTCAGCATCCTGCTTGTTTCTGGAAGCATGAATATTCAGTCACAATACGGAGCAAGCAAAAGCGTGCTGACTGTATTAAACAGGTACCAAAAAATCTTTATCCTTCTCCTTTTTCTCATTATCATAGATTAAGATAAAAAAATCAACATTTAGAAAATGCTACTTCTGCCAAGCTTGGAAAAGACTTATCATTCAATGAAATGATGCTGGTTTTCATATATTTAATGTTATCAAGAGAAATGTGTGGGCAGAAGAAAACCAGCATAATTAGCATTTTAGGGGAAAGGAATTTAAAGGCAACTAAACTGAATCAGTAATTATTTTCCACTTTGTTTTATTTTCATTATTTCATTATTTTCTCAGAAAATGCTGAGCAGGCAGAGTAACAATGCTCATCATTCAGAAATGATTCCTTTAAATACCACCAAAAAAAAAAAAAAAAAAAAAAAAAAAAAAAAAAAAAAAAAAAAAAGACCCTCCACACTGGCATGTTTTCCTGTTGTGTAAATAATGCCTATTTGTAACTCTTGTTTACTTATATCTTGAAAAAGATTACTGAATCCAAAAAGGGTAATTTTGCTATAAATAAAAGAAATGAAGTGACAATTTCTCTATGAGAGAATTATCTATGAGATAATCCCTGAGGTAGGACACCATCCCACCCCTCCCAAAGGACAAAGAAATGTCTAGAAATAACATAATACACTTATATTTGCTAAAATGAGGAGTTCCATGATTGCTGAAAGGAAATCTAAAGGCCACGTACTCAGACTGTAAGGGAAAACATCCATTAAACCACCACCTCTCACCAAAATAATTTTTTAAAGAAGGCAATTCCCTACATATGTGGGAAAGTTCTTTAAGAGATCTTACAAGTGGGGGCACCTGGCTGGCCGAGTTGGGGGAACATCCAACTCTTGATCTCAGGGTTGTAGACTGGAGCCCCCTGTAGGGTGTGGAGACTACTTAAACATTAAAATCTTTTAAAGAAAAAGAGAGATCTTAAAAGTGAATAAAAACCTCAGTGCATAATCTGAATTCCATCCTCCACATGACATGGCGCTTGTCACTAAAAAAAAAAAAAAACCATTTATGTAGGAAAGGTGGCATGAGCCAATCAGGTCTCCTTTACACTGCCAGGTGAGAAGGAAATGTGCTGGCTACGAGACCCACATCTCAGACTGACTCATGATCTACGAGGCCCGACAGGTTATGTCTTTTAAAAATAAAATAATCCTACTAAAAGGATGGCTATCAGTCTGCTCTTTAGGACTGAGAGGGGACTTCTTAGGTTTTTTTTTTTCACATCCTAATGAGCGAACATTATAGAAGTAAATCAATGCCAACGCAAGGCACACATGTGCAAGTTGAGATAAACTTACGAAGTAGCCTGTTCCCAAGCTGGAAGGAGCTGAACTCTGCAATAAAGCATAAAGACAAAGTGGAAAATCAGCAATGGTTTTTAACACGTTCCAATCCACACAGCTCATTACCAGCCCTTTGCGGGTTTTTCATCGCTACATCACATCACTAGTGTATGCTGCCCCTTGTCATCTGCTAACTGATACAAACACCGTGTTGGCTTAATTTTCCCCTTTACATCTCTCAACAACTCAGAGATGCTAACGTGCTATTTACTGAATTCCAAGCTTCTGCGGTGGACGTAATTGCCAATTTATTTGACAGGCAGCTGGGTAATGAATTAATGATGGCATTTCGCCCTGCACTGAGACTAAACAGACACGCATCAGCCTGCCTCCCTGACTTGCTGACATTCAATGCCCTGGTCTCAAGCTACTCAGTTTTGTGGCCGCAAAGGGGCAGGCAAGAGGAAAAAGCCCAGACTGACTTGAAAATAAAAGCCCAGTGGGTTTGGATGACTTTTCCAGTGTATGACCTACTTGCCAGTTTATTCCCTAAAGGCATCAGTTAGTACACACAGAGCGCTTTTCAAAAATGAGACATTTTGTAAACATAATTAGTAGAATAAAATGCAAAGAATGTGTGGGTAAAGGGAAGCCATGAAAAGCAACATTTTTCTGAAGGTTTTAGTCACAAGAATTATCAATTTAGGCTTCCATAGTTCTGACAGAAGACTAAAACAAATAATATTAATTCTGAAAGGCTTGCAGGGCACCATTTCTTTGGGCAAAGAGGCCAAAAAGAGAACTTGGGTTTTGTTTTAGACTTGTCTGTGATTCATGCTTGTTTGTACTTCTGTTTTTTTTTTTTTTTTTTGCTTAAAACCTCCCATTACAAATTCTTTAATTTTTAGTATCCTTTTTGTGAACAAGAAAGGCCCTAAGTATAAATAAGCTTGAGACAAAAGGAATGCAATGCTAAGACAGTCTCCTGGTCTTGGCTAAGTGTCCTTGCGCTGGCAGGGCCTTCTCCCTGACTAGCTTGGATCAGGGGCTACCCCCTTCCTGGGGCAGGCTGACTTCCACCTACAAGCAGTACTCACTCAGTTCATCCCTAGCTATTATTCCACCTACATGTTCTGTCCCTGCTCTGCAAACTACAGGTAGCAGGGACCATCTGGTTAACTCATCACTGCTTCCCCAGTGCTTAGCACACAGGATGCACTTAGTATTCGTTGAATTAATGTATAAATAAATAAGTGGATTGTATGGGGGGGAAAGAAGGCTTAGGTGAATTTAACACCTCTGAAAATACAGTAGATGGGAATCTTCCTGATTTTAAACTGTTTCTGAGAAGGAAATACAGTGCTGGTAAATATCAACAGCATCCACAACAAAAAAGAACAGTACGCTCCAGGGCATTCCTAAATGCACTTCCCAAAGCAAAACTTTCTTCACCTTGATGTTTCAGACAGACTCAGGGGGAATAAAGGACAATAGATGTGTGATCTTGCACACCAGACTTGGTTTAAAAAAATCTTGCTGCATTCCTGATCCCATAAATGGTACATAGGGAGATCCACTGTAGCCATGGAGACAGCTTCTCCTAGCAGTGATTAGCCATGTGACCGCATCACCTGTGTACAGCACCCACAGCCTTCCATGGAGCAGAGGAAGGCAAAAGCCAACTTAGGTCTCCACCACCCTGGAGTCATGCCCCTGGGAAGTAAACTCATTTTAGGATGAATTACTCAGAAAGAGCATGGGATTTGTTTATTTCAGGTTTTTTCCCCTTCCTGCAAATGCATTTTATCCCAGAAGCAGAAGTACCCCTCCAAACCCACCTCCCACCCCCACATACATATCATCTTATTGTATACCAAAGAAAATTACATCCTTCAGGTCTCGGAAAGCTCTGTTATACTCATTTTGCATATATATTGTACATTACTCAGGGAGCTGGGTGGAGAAGAGGGCTTTGTTGTGCATATTTGTTCTGGCTATTGTTTATGCAGGTCTGACTGAATGAGGGAACAGTGGGTATCATTTCAATTTCTGATGTCAACATCAAATTACTTATTTAATTTCATGCCTGGCGAAGCATTGTATAGCTACACGCAGAATCATTTCACTTCATTTGTTATGCTGTGTTTTCGTGGCGATTGGCTTGCCTTCCAACTGACAGCTTTAATTACGACATGAATTTGATTGCACTGCCGAGGAATTAACATAATGCAACAAAGCATTTAAGCACCCTGCCTTATACCACCCCCCCACACACACACAAATACAGACAGACATATGAAAGAACATAGACACTGTATCCTCCCGTGCATTAAAAGCCCATTAGAGTTTCAGTATTTGCTAGAAAGCATACAGAACCTTATGGTCAGAAGATACTCACATTTGTCAACCCACTGTACTCACCTCTTTTTCTATACAGAAAAAAGTTGGGGGCATTAAGCTGTGTTTTTGGGACCTGGCAAAAAATTCTGTAAAAAAATCCTTCTAATCTTTACCTTTGCCAAACACCCATAGCATTGACATTTCTTCCCTGCCTACTCCCTTCTCCACCACATTTTTCTCGGCCAATTGCCAGCCCCCTTCAATCACTGGAGATTTTGAAAGAAATAACATCTCTGAAAGAGGTATCTTCTTGTCCATTACTACAACTTCAAGAATCTTGCTATGGCCTTGTATTCAATGGGACACTATTCCTGGTCAACAATAAGACCTTCAGCGTCAGATAAAGATAACAGAAGTTCTGAGACCAGCCACAGGCAGGAGTCAGGGTTTCACTGCCAGCTCATGACACACATCACATCCCTTAGGCCTTGCTATCCAGAAGGTCCACAAGAGTCTCGATCATATGCCTAATCCAAGTTTGTATCTCAATACAGATGCAAGTATTTGAGAGCATTAACCTTTTTCCCAAGTCAGAAATTCCATGAACACCTGGAACCATGGGCAAAAACAGACTATGCTACAAAAATGAAATAGATGTCTAGAAACAGCCTTCCTATGATTGAAATGCATTATGTTGGCTATTAATTTACAGATGTGCATTTAGGGATTGGCACTGATTTCTCATATAGGAAAGAGACAGACACCAAGGTAAAAGGCCTAGGAAAGCAAAGAGGTTGTGATGCCCTGACCACTGAACACTTGATAGAATCAAGCTGATTTCAACTTTCTGTGTTGCCCCAATCCATATCTAATGAGAAGGGGTCTTTCTTTTTTGTTTTGTTGGAGGGGGAAGGCAAACTCTCTCCAAACTATATAGCAAAAATTGTCATAGAAGCTAGAAAAGGCAAGGAGTGAAAATGAGGCTTGAAAAACTAATGAGATGTTTTAAAAAAGAATGCAACAAAACAAAACGTCCTTGGATTCAAAAGCATTCGAAATAATACCATACACCCATGTTTAGGCAAATACATCTGTTGAATAATGAAAAAGCCTTCATTCTTACTTGTTTCAAATGGCAGAGATGCCAATTCATTCATATTTTCAAGACACAAGGCAGAAATGTTAGGTGTAGAGAGACTGAGCAAACAGAGTAAGAGAAAGTGTTTAGCAATGAGAGGACAAGGATGTGAGGAAATGCCAGCCCACTGGCTATCTGATATGTGATTTCCGGGCTCATTATCAGCCATCTCCTATTTCACATGGTCTTTTCATTTGGCTGTTTTTTTTTTTTTTTTTTCCAGGTTTGACCACACTGCTCCCGCAATCTGCAAATTACCCGCCTCGATCTCATTATGTTGCAAAGGAGAGCTTTCTTACAAACACACTCTGCCTCCATCTCCAAGCTACATGGGCTGCAGGAATAGTAATGGGATGCACAGTTGAAAGACATTTTCCAGGAGGTAGAACATTGCTGCTGACATTCAAGTGTGCAAGTGGATATTCATTAAACTCTCATTCTACTCTTCCTCACTGCTCCCCACCTGACTTTCTTTCCATCTCTGTCACTAAGCTATCATGGAAGGTACTCATTAAACTCATGAAGTTAACATTTCTGTTTTAACGGCTTACCTACAACAAGGGATTTCAAAATTGATTATCCATCCAAAAAAGATGTGCTCCATTTATTAGACATCTACACAGAAAGGCCATGGCTACTATTACAGCTCTCTGAGTATGGGATGGATGTGTACTCCACCTCTCAATGAGGATGTGTGCTCTGACCCTAGGGCTAATTTAAATAGAATATTTTAAAATTCTTCCACATCACCAATTGTGTCTGACATCCTTGCCTACCCACCTCCCTGTTATGCTTTTCTCTCTTGGGAGTAAAACACGGAGGATCATGGCTAAGTACATTTCTTGTGAAGGCCACAAAACAAGCTCATTCATGGATTTTCTGTAGCATTTTAAAAAACAATGACAATTATAAAAACTTGAAATCTTAATCCTAGGAAATGTGTCTCGGGGATAAGATTACTAATAGATGATGAAGACACAATATAAATTTGAATGGGAAATTACTACTAGGGGAATTCAAGGAAAAACAGGCCAAAAATTAAAATGAGAAATACTACATGATCCCAGAATTCCATCACCGTATTTACCCAAAGAAAATGAAAACACTAATTTGAAAAGAGATATATATAGATCCCTGTGTTTACTGCAGCATTATTCACAAAAGCCAAGATACAGAAGCACCCCAAGGCCATCCACAGATGAATAAAGAAGTGGTCTGTCTGTTGATCTATATATCTATCTATAAAAGGAGTATTCTATCTATATAAAAGGAGTATTATTCAGCCATAAAAAAGAATGAGATCTTGCCATTTGGGACAACATGAATACACCTAAAAATATTATGCTAAGTGAAATAAGTCAGACAGGGAAAGACAAATACCATTATTATTTCACTGATGTGGAATCTAAAAAAAACAAAGCAAGTGAATAAACAAACAAGAAAACAGACTCTTAAATACAGAGAACTGGTGGTTGTCAGAGGAAAGGTGGATGGGGGTAAAATAAATAAAGGGGATCATGAGGTACAAACTTCCAGTTACAAAAAAACTAAGTCATGGAGGTGAAAATCACAG